GATTTATAGCCTTCCATGAAAGAAACATTGTGATGAGCGACAGCTATCAAACAATTGAATCGATCAGGTTGATCTGAGGCACAGAGACTAGGGATACTCACTGTGCGCGTACACACGAGACTAACAATAGCGACTCCAACACAAAAAAAAGTCGTGACTTGACCTGCTTGCCTTCATATTTGAGGCCGAACACAGCTTCTGGATAATATATAAAATAAGATCAGTATAGTGATATAGGATATCAAGACGCTAGGAAATGGAAAGGGGAAAACTTACTGAAATGGTGTAATCCAGTTTCGGGTCGTGGTCGTAGTCTTGAGGAGAGTGAGCTGGCAGGTGGCTGTGTCCAGATTGAACGATTTTGGACTCGCGCCCGGCAGAGCCGCTCACTGGCGCCTATATTCACGCATACGTGAATACAAGCGCCGGCGACGACCAATGTTTGGACGACGATGACAATCACAACTGTCACTAGCCTCGGTATTCTCTTCTCAATCTCACTAACCCTCATCTTTATGCTCTAAAATGGTAGACTGAATGTACCGTCACCCAAGATAATGTAAAAGCAAGTACACCCATTGGCAGTGTTATACTTATCACATTCTAGCTAAGTTAGGATGGTCTCTGAAGGATATCAGACAATATGTCGTGAATCGGTAGGTGGGTACCTTGGGCTAATACAACGGCGAGCTTGCCTCTGGTCCACCCTGAGTTATGTCGAACCCTGTTTGTATCACTCATACAAAGAATGCCGTTGCTGGGGAGACAACTCTATCCTGGAATATGGGAGAATAGCTCAAAACACTCAAAGGATGCCGTTGCCGGGGACATCTGTGTCTCGAATACGAGAGAATAGCTGGGAATACTCAAAATAGCCCAGAAATACCGTCATATCACATTTCAATAGTCGGCAATATCAGACAATGTGACTAAATTTATGTCAATTTTCACTGGGCTTCAATCCTCACGTATAGATTCTCAGTACGAATCACTTCCACCCGCGTTCTACGTTCTCATTCAACCATTTCGAATCTACTCTAATGGACAAACTCTGTACCCCTTATTTATTATACCTCGCTCTCAATGACAAGAGGAGCGGAGCCGGACTTTCGTCAAAAACTTATGTTCCTTCACCTCTACTACATACAACCTAGCAGGCTCCTGGCCTAGGGATGTATATTATGCCACATGTTACGACTCCGTCTACGATCTATCTGTATTTCCCATGTTCTGTCACATGTATTTACAACTTACGACTACATGAACCATGAACTTCGAGAGTTCTGAAAGTCGTGGTCCAACACCCTTCCTCTAGCCGCAAAATTCCAACTTGTGATACCAAGTTTGAGAGTTTTGACCTCTGAAGCGTGATAATACAGGACTGAGGTCAATGCGGGAAGGGAAAAGAGACACTTCAGTAACACACGTTGGAGTCATTCATCCGTCCTTCTCCCGGGACCAGCGGCCACCTATTCCTGTATCGCACACTCGGGCTCTCCATTGATGGGGAATGGACTCGAATCGCTACTCATTGGCTTCGCGTTCTCTGGTAGATCTTTGTGAACGTTACGCCACATTCTTTATTCCTTGATCACGATTGAGTATTTCCGCCCGCTACATCTAATTTGAGGTCACTTGTGATACTTACACATGCACTGGATCATGGCAGGCGAGCTTGGGAGAGTCGTCATGATCATAGCAACGGGCCTGGTTTGTATCATTCCTTCCCTTTTCACAGTTCGCGCGGTTTGAAGTTTGACAATAAACATTCGCGGACCAAGATCCACTGTGAGCCCCTATGCATCGAGAAAGAACCCGGTTTTAACTGGGTCGTTGTAGGTGAGTGTAGGTGAAGGCTTCTATCCGGGCGATCATTGAATTGGATGCAGCACCGCGAAGCCACACAGTACACGGAAGAGGACCGTTGTGATAGACCTCGATGGTAGATTATCGGAGCACAGGCACAGAGTGTGCTACTCGGCCCTCGGGCAGAAGAGGACAATCCATGAATGTTGAACGTGAACCTTGTGACGCTTTGGTTGTGATTCAGATCAGGACACCAAAGAGAGAAGAGTCACCGAAATTGGTCCCATGTACAATCTAGAGACTAGCACCATATCATCGACCGTCAATTTGTTATTTTTGTCAGGCCCGATAGCCGTCACGGTTGGATGAACCTGAGTATTCGATAACGTTCAATAAAGATTGGACTGTTAAGTACCTGTGACCGAACTGACCACAGAGGACGTCTAAGGCGCGGGGGTTGCTGGGAGACTGGGCGCAGCACTCCAGGGATGGTGTTTGCTACTGATTATGCCCGAGGAATACTTATAATCCGTCTGTCATTGTACTCAACAGTTCCTGCCTCTGGCCTCTAAGTGAAACTTGTTTTGATTAGTCCGGCGTCTGGCAGATACTGAACACGATACCGGCTCACCCATGCACTTCATCACAAAATATAGGTTCTTTCGTTCGCGTTATGCGACGAGCATGAATTTGAACCCAGCGTTAGACGATCGTAAACTCTGCGTGTCGAGGAATGGGAGAACGAGCGAACTATAATGGAAGCTTACCTCCAGGCGATCAATTCGTTACAGGGAAGCGCAGAGGGGTAGTGCAATAGACCTCAACGGATAGATCACTCTGCCCGAGGAAATGCCTTTAATGTTGAACGTCAAAGTCGGGTTTGCTCTCCTAAGCCTAAATGCAATCGATTTCCAGCTAGATACATTCCCAGTGCAACCGCGACAAACTCAGTCACTTGAAGAGAAAGTGATTCATAGTATAAGTGCAACTTGGTTGAGTAGAGATCTCAGGAATCGCTCAGTCAAGCGTCTGGTAGTCGGTGCCTGAGTTTCGAGAGTGAGTGCCGTCGGCGTAGGTTTTTCTGGTTGGATGCTTCAGACATTTTTCGAGTTGATACGCGTACGTTGTGGATAGACTTGGAGAGTGCGAGGATCGAGAAAAGAGACAAGTATGCTGTTTGTGGAAAAAGCGAGGCCGCTGCCCATACGTCGGTGGGGTAAAAGACCGATGTGTGTTCGAGGGGCTCTCAGCACCCTTCTGTAACTGTCAGGCAAATAAGTCGAGCTTTAAGTTGTCAGTTGCACGCACGAGCCGTATCTCCTGCAATCCTGACTGTTTCTGCCCTTTACCAACTATAGTAGTAGGTCGTTGAATCAGAAGAGAGATGTAGGGGAGGAAAGAAGGCAAGATCCATCAAGTTTTGGCTGGCAGTGGGAGAGCAAAGAAGAGAGTTCTAATAGGCGGCGAGTTGTCGGTGAAAATATTCAACCAGATTTGATGACGTTATCCCACAACTTTGGAACCTCACATTGACCGATGGTCACCGATTCTCCGCCGCCTCATGTCCCTCTCCCTCATCTCCGATAGCTGCAGACAATCCTGACTCGGCAACGTCCAACCGAAACACGCCCTCTCCCCGCGGTCACCTAAGAAACATGACGAGCGGCTCACAAAAGACGACCCATTCGTCATCGACGATACACACCCATGGACTCGTTACTCTGACTCTAACGATCCGACTCTCGATGTTGGTACGAAGGGATTCGAGGACTGAGCCATAAAATGCATAGGATGAAGAAGAAGGAGGTGCTTGGCTCGAGTTCGACTTTGAAGGTACTACGCCCATTTCGTCTTTTTCGTTTCTATACACCAACCCCTCGACTAGGTGACTACAACATTGCCCAAGATGCACGAAATATCCAAAACAACAAAACAGCCCATACATGGATATGTTCCATCGACGGTTCCTCCATCCCTTGATTTCCGTTCACCGATATCAACCGAACGATGCATAAAAACCTTTGCGAGCCAGGACTGATGTCCCGTACAGCATACAAGTTTGGCAGATTTTCAAAACCAACTCTTGTTCAACGCGTCGGGTCTATCGGGGGACAAGGAACACAAATTGGCGATAACGTTCAAGGGTGTCTCCGACTCGGATAAACCACCGATTCAGTGGTTGGTCGTAGACAACTTTCTCATCACACCAGTGGGTATGGTTTCAACGTCGTTGGGGAAAAGCAAACTGGCAATGGGGATGATATCGGGGGCTACGTTTGGTGGGGCTATTGGGCTCGTTCTGCTTGGATTGGGGATATGGTTTTTCATGAAACGGTGGAAGAGGAATCAGCGGGAAGGTGGTATGGATTCACCTTGGTATGCTGGAGGGACCGGGAATGTATATGGGTGGTGGGCATACGTATGCGGCTGTGACACCTTTCGTTCCGGAAGACGAACATAGGCCGTATGTGAACCCTGTGGCGCCTTGGGAGGCTGCCGCGGCAACGGCTGGGGCTGGGGAGTGGGAGCATGAACGAGTACGACGTTGTATCCACCCGAAAAACAACGATACTCGAATATGTCCACTTCTTCTTCCGCTCCTTTCCTCGGTGGTGCCTTGGGGTTGGGGTCAGGATCTGGGAGCAGACCACAACACTCACGACATAACCAATCCCAATCAGGATCCGTCATTACGCTCTCCCCGCCCAATGTCGATTCTACATCCCATCACTCCTACTTCGACCCCTACGCAGATTCCGCTGCTGGGTCGAGTAGTAACGACAATTACCGATCGATGAAAGGCGAACAGCGGCAAGTCGTCAACACCACGTATTGGAGGCATGGGGAGAGTGGGGTGCGGTATGGGCAAGGGTCCGGTGCGCATGTGGAGGATCTGCCGCCGGATTACACGAGGAACTAAGGTGTCGTTCGTTGGTCGACATGTTTTTCTGGGCTTTCGGAATCTGGATGGACTGCGTATCACATATACTTATTATCGTTCTTTCCTCGTTTTCTCTCTCTCCCTCTCTCAACAGACTACTTCGTTATTGCTATCATCTATCATCTATCGCTGTCATTACCTACATACTTATCATCCGCCATCTTTTACTTTCACGAATCTAACAACGTACTTAAGAGGAAAGGCGCATCAAGACCGCTTCATATCATGCCTCGAGCCACTTCTTCCCATACTTAGCAGCATGGCGCAGTGGTAGCGCGCGGGGCCCATATGATACAATGGCGAATCAAATTCAAATTGATCATGGAACCCCGAGGTCACTTGATCGAAACAAGTTGCTGCTACCAGTACTGATAACTCAGAAAACGCATCGAATTTTCACTCTCGCCAGGCATTGATAGTACGCTTCATGTGCCAACTTGAAGCACTGCGCCAACCGACCTGACACCTTTTCTGTTTGTTTATTTTTTTTCACTGACCAAACGCTTCTCTTCGTGCCAAAGGCCGGAGTAGGGGCTAAGAACCTGATTTTAGTCGAGGGAAACGAGGGTCTCGGTCCAGAGTTCATGGTCGTTAATTGTCTAACTAGGATACTGGGGAGCTGGTTTCATGTCAACGCAGACAAGACGGCGGGCTCGATTCGGACGCGCAGGAATCGGCTGAACCAAATCGAGGCTAGTTGGGTTGTCGGGTACAGTAAAATAAGCAAGTATAATTTGGATGACTTCCCGTAAGGGCCTGCAAATAATCGGTCTGCAATTTCCTGCAAATAACACCCAAGCAATTGATAGCCGACCGGAGGTCTTTCCAAAAATGACGTTTTTTGACGAGCTCACAGTTTAGAACGGGGTCGGGACCCTGTTCTAAACGATTTTTTCGTCAAATAACCGACCCATTTGGAAGTAGCTCCGTCGGCTAGCTGGTGTTCGCGTGGTCCCTCAGATTATTTGCAGAGCAATTATTTGCCAGCTCTTACGGGAAGTCATCCATTGATTTGATTGAGTCCCCTGGGAGTCGGAATACATGCTGCTCTCCAAAGTCAATCTGTGCGATTCTGTCGTAAACCATTCGGGGCAGGCTCTATTGTTGGGACCCTCGATGATATCTGGTTGGCACTGGTCCATGCCTAGACCGTGGCATGCGTGAGGCCAGCCACAGACTGGTCTGAATGATTCGGCCCCCGAGATGACAACTATATCGAGTGGACTGCCTCGAGGCTCATATAAGTCAAGGACAAACCTATAAGTAGTATCATCTGGTCAATTGTTGTTATATGTCGTCGATTTCCTTCTACGACCCGTCCCGCTCTCGATCTACAGGTCCCAACTCCAAGACTTCTCCATGTGATTCTCTCTTGGCAAACAGATAGATCGACGCTTGAATGAAGGGTCCTGACTGGTTCTGGTTACCACTTATTAGTTGAGGTAGTAGCTCGTATGAGAATTTGTTGGCAAGCATATGCCGTCTACTAACACACCATGGTCGCGGACCGGACCCGTGAAGCTACATTCAGAAAGCATGGCTACTGGGAGTGGCCATGTCACCGAGATCCGAGATCAGCCATCGGGCCGCCGAGATCGAGCTTTGGCCGCGGGAACCAGTGACGGACAGTGGACAAGTATAGATACTGTATACAGACGGATACTGCGCATCGGTCGTAGCCTTGTGCGCACCCTGGAATGAACAGTTGACAGACCGGTCCTTTCGGCGCCTTCGTATCTAGGGTATTCATTCATAAGTGAGCCTTGAGAGCGGGGTCAAGTAAAGGGGCTCGTTTGCCGCCTATAGGGTACAATTGAGCCACAGCGGCCCACTAGTCTCGCCATAAGTACACGGAATCGGGTGGGTAGCCAGATGGCGGGAGAATGCACGGATTTCACACCAAGATTGAAGATGACGTGGGACACTAATGCGGCGGCCATGGGTCGTAACTTGAGATGTAACCGTGGGTCCTCAATTTCATAACTTGCGGCTGTCCTTAGGGCTATTTGGTGGGACAGATTCCTTCCCAGATGGCAGATACGAATAGTTGAACGGAGTATCTAGTATCCTGCGAACCGATGGGAGAGATACGTGGCGGTCCTGATAGGACCCCCGGCATTTCACCCAATTGATAGGTCCTGGTTCGGCCAAAATGGGGGCAAAAATCCTGGGGGGGCCTGAATTTGGTTCGGCCAAAATGACCGCCAAAGGCGAAGGCCGGATCTGGTGTTCGGCCAAATAGGGTGCAGAACCAAGCTCATGACCGAGTTTGAGATTGTCGAATTCTGAAGGAGGGATTTCTCGATGCTGGTGCAGTATGAATTAGGCCAGAGGAGACTGAAATGAAGTGGTATTGGGAGCCAAAAGCGCATTTTGCATCTTTGGGGAGGGTGTCTGGACGGTTTTTTGACCCTGCATGGGCAAGGCCTCCTCCCGGTTCGGCCAAAAACTCCTGGTGGTCCCGGTTTTTGGTTCGGCCAAAAAAGCCCCATCCGGACGAATTTTGGATCTAACATTTGGGAGGAATGCCGGGGGTCCTGTCCTGATGTCATCAGTGTCTCGTTCGTACTGGTGCTCCTTGATAACCCGACCCCAGAATGGTAATCTATAGCGATGTCAAGTGTCGACCGTTGGATCCCGAGGCTTTAGGTAGCAGATTTGATGGTGAGTATCATCAATGACTGGAATCACTCGATGAGGGTATCTGTAACCCAATCTTTGTCGAATAGTACTGACAAAGTTCCTCGAGCTGTGTATTGCGAGTAGCATACTCGATGATCAAGAAGGAAACAGGAAATGTCGTCGTCACAGCTGGACCTGGAGTACCCTGGAGGGAATGAGCTGGGTTGAGATGTGGATTGGACGATTGATTGATTGATGATAACGGGAGCGCCAATATTGATAATTGATTTGATCTATGATATCGATCCTCCTAGTTATCGATTCATTACGCATCGCGCTCATTTCCCCAGTTCAAATTTTCCCCAGGTACCACCACGTGCAACCCGAAGTTTCCGTGCTAAGGATCTTCAAAGGGAATCTCTCACAGAAACAGGGTTCATACACATCGAAGATCGTTCAGTCCTGCGGAATGGGGAACATAATCAACACGGTACCTCTTATTTGTCTCCGGCTCGCCTTTGAGTTCTTGCTCACTGGCCCAAAAGCTGCTTAGGAAACCCTTCAAAGTCTGCGGTCAACCGGAAGTGCACATAATAACAAAGGAGATAGATTCATATAGCAACAAGCGGGGCTCGGGACCATGAACTTGGAGCATTCGCTCTCTATTCCAACGGTATCGATTCAGTCTATGAATGAAAAACCAACGTCAGCTTACCTTTGGGACCTCCCGTTCGATGTTTTGCTCGTTGCACACAGTGCCAAACCGATCTGTTCATCTGCCATAATTAGGTGTTTTCAGGGACTGATCCCGGCTTTTGGTTGAAGAGCAGGGACATTGGTAAGACACTGGCGAGCAGAGGTCAAAATTTCACCTGGACCTGAATGCCTTCAACTGCGTTGAGGACATCATAATGACGAAAATCTCTCAGGATTGCACGGAAACCTGAGGTTTCCGATTACCCGCCATCCACGTTCATCTCCGTTCGCGTTCGCCCAGTGAGCCCGTCCAGATCCGATCTAAATGTAATCATACGATCTATCACTCAGTTTGGTATATAGGCGACTCCGATACAATTGAAGAATGAGCTATAAAGGTCGCAGACGGGGAAGCTCTCGGGTTCGACATTTCCCATCACCTTGCCCACTTTATCCCCCCCAACATCGCGCGCCCTTCATCAGTTGGCTCAAACGAAAGGAAATCGTGAGATACATGTATCCAAGAGACGACTTGCACTGCAAAACCTCTGATCAGTGCATTCAGACGAGTGAGGACGGAAAGGGAATGCCAGATAACCTTGGTTCGCCTACGGCCTTAGCTTATGAGGCAGGGAAAGCAACCGCTCAATCCCACAGGACTCGGGACTCAATCTGCGCTCGCAAGGATAAGACTGGTACTGGTCCAGCGGCGCTGCTGGAATCAGAAGTGCAAGGAACGCTGCCCGTGGGTGAAGAGCCAGAGCCGGAGAAGAGCTCGAAAGGCCCAGTCAAGGTGAGCTCCGGTTCGATTGTCTGGCTCAAACACTCAAGTTCATTTCCCCCTCTATGAAGGACAAGAGGGACTCACTAGCCCATAAGGTTGAAGAGAACTCCGAGAAGAGGACGCGTCAGCCTACCGGTAGTGCCGCCGGCCCAGGACCAGCATCAATCAATATCAATCGCATTCACAACGGAGATGTATACACTCGCAGCTCCGTTGGGCAAGCCTCAAGAGATACGTTCAACCATGGGCGGGGTATATCAGGTCGGAAAAAAATATGTTCATCATTATGGTACTATGCCAACAACGGCTTTTAGCTCCTCCCCAAACTCGCCCTGCCAATTGTCAAAACTTACCAATGCTTCTAACCATGGCGTTACAAATGGCTTTGACTACCAACATGGACCCCATCCCCATTGCCACTGGCGCTTCACCCCAGTTGTCTCAGAGTCACATGGAACAAGGCAGTGCATCTGGTGAGTTCCTGGTCATCAGTTGATGATGAACCCCGACAAACCTCATGCGAATCTTCCAGTCTCCCTACCCCTGGAACCTTATCGGCAAATTGGCGACGAAGAGACGCCCATCCAAGGTCGACCACCCACCCACACCATCAGCGACGACTCGGTTGCCTCACGGATCTTACCTCCCAAAGGTTCCCACTCCGAGTCGTACCCCAGTGACGAGCCGTCAGCAACACTTCCAGATTCCGGCTCACCAGATGGCTCATCGAGCGTCGAGGATCTCTTTTCTGGAAGATGCTGCGTTGAAATCTGCGTGCTAGCAATACTAGTCACAGCCTCCTTTATCATGTCAATGTGAGTTATTATGTCTGCACCCCTTTCCTGTCGTCATACTCATGGCTTGTCTCAAAGCGTGCGTCGTTCTTAGCCGTGTAGGCACGGAACTACGTTTCCTACAATATGGAGTTACTCGGGCGTTCGGATTATTTTATGCACTCCTTCCGACTCGGAATTCCTCCTCCTGTGGTCAGCTTCCTCCGTGTATACTTGTGGACTCCGCCATCGTCTTTCAGGCTCGATATGGTCGCTATGTGGCTTGCTTCTCGTGCGTTTCCGTCTCTTGAACCGCCTGAAACTGAATAGGGGCTGTCCGCCCGCTGTTTGTTCCCAGATTGTCAGATTGTGCCCGGGGGCTAACGGCCCATGGTGCACATCATCATCGTATGCCCTTCGATTGAAGGTATCTGGTACGAGTCTTTGGCCAGGACTAGCTTGCATGGTTGTGGTGACCAATGTCAAC